GAAAGCAGTCTTTTCTGCGTCGTCTTCATGCATGGAAATCTGGAGGTACCCTCTGAACGCGTCAAGGAATGACATCAACTCGCACCCTGCCGTCTCGTCCACCAACTGATCAATGTTGGGGAGAGGGAATGGGTCCATTGGACACGCCTTGTTCAGGTCAGTGTAATCAACACACATTCTGAACGTAGGCAGCTTTGGGGCGAGGACGACGTTCGCCAACCACGTGGGGTACTTCACCTCTCTGACGTGCTTGATGGAGAGCAGCATGGCCACCTCGGCCTTGACGAATTCTCTCCTGTCGGCTGAGAGGTAGCGCTTCTTCTGCTTGATGGGGGAGGAGGCGGGATCGACTGATAGCCGGTGTGTGATCACTTTTGGGCTGATGCCCGGCATGTCCTCTGGTCCCCATGCGAAGACGATGGCGTACGCTCTTAGGACGGAGAGGATGTTCGTTCGGATCTGTTGGGGGAGCTGCGTCCCTACCTTCAGTACGCGTTTCGGCCGAGAGACGTCCAACGGAACTTCTTCCACGTCTCCGACCGGTTCGGCTTTTGGCGTGTCTTCTTCGGCCGAGGCGGTGGTAATAGTGTCTATCCGCTCCTCGGCCTCATTAATCTTCCTTGTGAGCTTGAGGTAGCAAGCCCTGGCTATCTTCTGATTTCCTCTGGCGTGGCCGACGCCGTCCTTGGTGGGAAACTTGAGGCATAAATGTTTCATGGAGATGATGGCCTCAAGGTCCTCCAAGGCCGGTCGGCCCCAGATCATGTTGTGGGCGCTGTCCAAGTTGACGACCACGAACTCCATGTCAATCTTTGCCTGACAGGTACCGTCACCGACCACAACGGGAAGCACTATCGTGCCCTCGGCGTCGATAGAGTCCCCGGTGAAGCCGGATAACGGAGTCCGTATTGGCCTCAACTCCGTCTTTTTCAGCTTTAGTTGCCTGAAGGTATCAACGTACATCACATTGACGGAACTGCCAGTGTCGATGTAGTTGCGGTGGATGATGTTGTTGCCAATCTCGCATTTGACGACGAGGGCGTCTCTGTGGGGCAAGGGGCCAAAGGGGAGGTCCTTGTCGGTGAAGGTGATGGCCTCCATATGCCGCCGCTTCGGCTAAGGGGGGGCGTGGGACACCTCACCAATGTATAGGGACTGAGCCCATTTTTTCCGTTGGGTAGCCGAGTCCCCCCCTGTGTTTCCGCCTACAATGATATGAATGTGATGCTTCTTCTGGCGGGGCTCTTCCTCGTCCTCATCTTCACTGAGGGCGCCGATCTCCCTCTTTTTCCCGGAGGATCCTTCCCCCCTTTTGCCAGGGTTAACCCAAGTGTTACTCTTGGGGGCACCCTTGACAAATTGGGAAAGTTCCCCCTGTTGGACGAGGCCGTCGATGTGCCTCTTCAGGGTGGTGCAATCATCGGTCTTGTGGGATGTCTGGCGGTGGTATTTGCAATATGTCCCTCCTTTGTGGACCGCAAATATCTCCTCCTCTGACCTGGGGTCCTTCACAATGAGGCCCTGTGCCTCAGCGTGGTCAAGGACGACGCTCACCGGGTGGGTGAGGGGGATGCGTTGTGCCTCCAACTTTGGGCGCCATGAGCGATCTTCCTTTCGTTGGCCGCCGGGCTCCTGGTGCGCCTTCCTCTGTTGGTTTTGTCCCTTGTTGGCCGGCGCGTGGTGGGGGTTGGACGAGGAGTCCTTCTTTTGTTGCTTCTCCCCACCTTTTTTCTGGTTCAGGAGCTCGTCGGCATCAGCGTGCCTGTCTCCGCGTCGGAGCGCCGCGAGGTATGACCGCGGGGGCTCCGTGAACAGACTCCGGGCGAAGTGGCTCGGCCGAAGTGCTCCACGGAGGAAGGCCAGGAGGGTTCGTTCATCGGCTCCTTCGCACTCGTCCGCCTCCCTCGTCCAGCGATCGAGGAAGGCTCGGAGCGTCTCCTCCGATTGTTGTTTGATGGTCAGGAGATGAGCGAAATGCTTCTTCGCGCGCTTCCTCCCGGCAAAGTGGGTGAGGAAGCGCTGAGCTAGGTCCTGCCATGAGTCAATGCTCCCTTCCGGAAGGTTGTTGAACCAATCGTACGCTGGTCCTTCTAAGGTGGAGAGGAACCAGCGGCACATGTATTCCTCCGAGGCGTTGGTCATCATCATGTTGTTCTGATAGCGGGTGAAGTGCTCCTGGGGATCAGTGCGGCTGTCATATGGCTTGATCGGGTTCCCCTTGTATTTCTCTGGGATGGGAGCGGAGAGCACCCTCGCGGAGAAGGGGGTCCTGGTCCGTATCTGGATGACGGGCTCATCGCGTCGGTCGGCCAACTCCCTTTCCAGAGCACTGACTTTGTTCAGGAGCGCATCGTAATTGGGATGCTGGGATGTACGGGCCGCCGCGCGCCCCGCGGCCTCCCGAGCCTCCATGTCAGCGAGGCGCTTCTCTAGGCGGGCAATGATCTCGTCCCTTGGGTCCGTGTTGGCCGCAGCGCCACCCAGCGGGGTCTGGATCCGGGCCGCGTGGGCCAGGTTGATCTGGTGACGCGCATCGTCATCATGTAGCTTTCCTTTTCCTTTATCTGGTCGGGGCCGATCCGTTGTCCGGGAAACGGACCCGAAGCTTTCCTTTGGTGATCCTGGCTCGCGACCACCCAACCGATCCGCCACCCTTCCCGTAGGTACCCGACGGCTCGCGATGTCACCCAGCCTGTTGAAGGCCGAGATTTTACCGCGAGGTTGGGCCGGTGTATCCCGAGTAGGAGAGGCGGTATGGGAATGGGTGTCCACGGCGAGGACGCCTTCGTTGTTGCCAAAGAAGGTGACGCCAAGCGGGTGAGGTGGGGGGTGGCGGCACCGTGGCGACCTCTCCAGTCACAGGAGTGTTGTTTTCTCCGGTCTTTGCGACAAGAGCACTGACCACGTTGGGGTCCTGGAGAATGCTTGCGACGATGGCCGATAGTGCGGCCGGATTGATCTGGGGGACAGCAGGGTGAGAAGCCTGTTGGCCCGAAGCGCGATCAGCAGCGCGTCTGTCCTCGAGCCCGATGCGGGCGTCTGGAGCAGTCTTGTTGAGCTGGGTGCGAAGGTCAGCCGCTGCGTGCTCGACCTCCTGAACATCTTCTTCATGGACGATGGGGTCATTAGGGACGTTGTCAGCAACGTTTCCCTGCCCTTCCTGGTTCAGAGGGGCATTCCTACCAGTGTTCTTTGACCTAGTTCTTGTCATAGCTAGCAGTAGCGTCTGGTAGCGACGAAGGGTACTCACTTGATCTGTTCTAAGCTCTCAATGAAAGCACCAAATGATAGAGTATTAATTCTAGAGAGAAGTGAGAGCTAGAGAGAGAAAGTGAGTATTTATATTTCTCAACCCCCTATAACTAGCCCCAAGGGGTCTATTTATAGGTAAAAATGTGGATTTGGGCTCCTAGCCATGGGCTTAGGAGGCCCATTACAATAATCATGTCTTCTTTGGGCGAAATAGGGCCACTAATGGGCTGTGTACAATACTTAGTAAATAAAGTAGAGAGATGCATTCTGCCAGGGCGAAGTCTGGCCGATGCGGTGCCTTTTGGCCGATGCGGTCTCGTGGCCGATGCGGTCTGTGGATCGTTGCGCTTACCGCTACACTAAAAGCAATCGCTGATAGTGTAGCACGCCCTTCCCCTTTTTATAGAACAGGCAAAGCGCCACGCGGTTCGATTGCACCGGCAGGCTGGCAGATTGCTGACCGCAGACCCGCGGCAGGCCCAACAATCTCCCCCCCAGCACCTGCCAGCCTACAACTGAGCAGCATGTTGTTGCCGGGGGTCGAACCCGTGACCTTTGGCTCTGATACCAATTGTGGATCGTTGCGCTTACCGCTACACTAAAAGCAATCGCTGATAGTGTAGCACGCCCTTCCCCTTTTTATAGAACAGGCAAAGCGCCACGCGGTTCGATTGCACCGGCAGGCTGGCAGATTGCTGACCGCAGACCCGCGGCAGGCCCAACACGGTCCATGGGCCGATGCGGCCCCCGGGAGTCCAGACGTGCTTCCTGGGCCGGTTCGGTTTCTGGCCGACGCGGACCCACTGGCCGATGGGGGCCACGTGGGTGTTCTTCTGGTCATTGTTGACTTGAGTATGTGGGCCATGGGGTCCAGGCCCATATACTCTATCAATAGGAAAGACTTGTTATATTTCTTTATATATAGGTTTTCTGTTGGAGTAGAACGTGTTAAATTGTCCTGCTGGAGATATGATGAGAAAATGGGCAGAAGGTTGTTCATATTATTATATATAAATAAATTGGTGCAATATGTGAAATTTGCTATGGAGTATTTGCTGCGGTCATTTAACAACCGCCGCAAAAAGTATTTTAAGAAAAAATATAGGGAAAATCGCACTTTTGGTCCCTGAAATAGTCACGAAAATGAAATGTCGGACCCGTATTTCTGATATTCTAAATGCCACCCCTCAATTGTCCAAATTGTTGTAAATGTGGTCCTTTAAGGGGTGAAATGTACCCTCGCCCACATTGTATATTTCACCCCTCAAAAGACCACATTTACAGTATTTAGGACAATTGAGGGATGACATTTACAAACTTGAGAATACAGGTCCGACATTTCATTTTCGTGACTATTTCAGGGATTAAAAGTACGATTTTCCCAAAAATATAATTGTCTATTTGCTGCGGTTCACAATCGCAGCAAATAACAAAATCCCCTTTTTGCTACCACTCCATTTGTTGCGGTTCATAAAAACCGCAGCAAATAGGCATTATTCTAGTAGTGTCTTGATCCATTAATCAAATGCATGTCAAAAATTCTTTCTTACGTGGCCATCTCTGTGAAACAGCTACATGCATCAGCCCGTGGGTTTTCATAACACCAAATATTCAAATCATGTTTGCCTTTTGAAAAAATCTTTATGCGGGTTGAATTCCCTCAACCATAGTATTGGTTGAACCAATGTACTACTCAAAGATATGTTTCTATGATCAAGTCACTAACATATTTAGGTTTCTAGCTTTCATGGAAGATCAGTGTGACATATATATATTAATATATGTTCATCATTCATCAATGAAGAATCATATTGTATATGGTTTACGTGTTACATTCAGAGAAAGATCAGAGCCATTTTAGTTGCAAATTCGAAATATAACAAGTCCGTAGAACACTATAAAAAAAATAAACATGCATCTCAAGCAAAAATGGTGTAACAATAATACTTTAGGTGTGTTATGGGGCCAAGATGCTACTCGTATTATATTACGCTGTTGAGGTAAGTTTTCCCTGCATCCACCTCTGAAGCATTACTAGTGCTGCCTTAGGTTGATCCATTGGAACCATGTGGCCTGCATCACTCACCTTGAGGAAACTCAGTGGTCCGTGGCTCTTTAGTGTTCCTTTCACCTCTCCATCCACAGTAAATGAAACGTTAGGTGCTATGCCGAAGTCTTTCTGACCAAGCCATTTCATGGCATGAACCCATCTTGAGTTTCCTGTTCATCCAAAATCAGGCCTCGGTTGTTACAATAGCAATAACAATAATGGGATGTTTGGAACTGATTCTGCTGCTACTTCTTTTTTAGAGCATAAACAAAATCAGAATTAGTTTTCAGAAGCTGGTCACCTCAACTTCTTAAAAACTGATTCTAGGAGTAAATTAGAGCACCAGAATCACTTCTGCATTTTCACCCATACACTCCAACTTCTGCTTCTGCTCGTTGAAGGAGCAGAAGCAGTTTTAAGAATTAGATCCAAACACCCCTAATTGTGACTTTGAAGTTTTTCCTAAACCAATAAAATATGAACTAATAAACCACTACGTACCAAGCCAGTTACAGATAAAATCAAATTCGCCAGCATATATAAGCACATTGATTCCTTGTTCAAGGAGTGCAGGAATACCAACATCATAGTTTCTCATCCAGTCCTGTATCATTGCGTTGTACACAATCTGGCTACATGAAACAAACTGAATGGCCCCAACCCCAAGAGCTTCTCTAACTTTTTGTTGGTTGAGGTACTTTTCCACGTTCGACATGTTGTAACAGAGCAATCCTTGACATGGCTTCGTGATGTCATAGGGCTGCATTTTTCACATGGCAATTAAGCTGTTAGTCTGTTACTACTCCCTACTTTAATGTCTTAGGTTATGATTCACCCACCAAATGCTGATTATTAGGTGCTCTATTATTACTCTATATAAAGGTTGATTGATTATCAGCTTTTGTTTAAGAAAAGTCATACCAATAAATTTCGTTGGGTTGATGCAAGTTATTCAGTAAGCTTGAGCTAGCTTAGCATAATTGATGACTTTCATTGAATATAGCTTTTTCATAGCTTTTTGCATATTTTATATCGATTATAAAATGTTTAATTATCCTTTTATTGTTGTATTTCTAAACCACCTCATCACCAACTTTTTTACAACACATATTATGAGATATGAGAGCGTATAAGCTAAGCAATGCATGCTATAATAACTACCTAAACATTTACTACGTATTATCAAGGTATATCACTTATAACTTGCTTTAGAAAACATGTATCGGCAACCTGGTAAGCCCCATTTTTCATCTTATAAGCCTTAGCTTATCAAACAGCTTTTGCCAAATAAGCAACTTTAGATTACACACGCTCAATTATGTCAGAAATTGTTTTATCATGTATAAAAAAATCAAGGAATTTTATCGAATCAGAACCTGAAATATAAATGAACTATAAATCCGAAATCTACAAAAATATGAAATGTGTTGGTATTGAAAACTATCAATCATGAATTTTATTATTTTTAAAATTTAATTTTTTTAAAATTATCTAGTTGTATTAAACTAATAAAAAAATATCAAGGGAAAACTATCAAATAAGCCCCCGTACTATACCGAAAAAGTCGATTAGGCCCTCGTACTTTACAAACACTCAATTAAACCCTTGAACTATTAAAAACGTTCAGTTAAGCCATTTCGGTAGGTAAGTAACCGGTTTCCCGGTTAAATGTAACCTGTTTCCCGGTAGCCGCCGTTGCTAGGGTTCCAGCACATCGTCACTGTCGTCACTGTTTAATCGGGAAACCGGTTACTTACCGACCGAAAGGGCTTAATTGAACGTTTTTTAATAGTTCGATGACTTAATTGAGTGTTTTTGTAAAGTACGACAGCCTAATCGACTTTTTCGCCAGAGTACGGGAGCTTATTTGATAGTTTTCCCATATATCAAAATATATGGATTGTAAGTCTTTGATCGATAGTTTTTAATTATTCAGGTCTCGGAGTGATAGATCATATAATTGTTGAAGTTAATTCTCTAGCTAAATTAGCAGAAATTGCCGAAGAGGATTATTTTCAATACAATGTCTTCTTTATTTTACAATAAAATACTCCGTATAATTTTAAGTATACTTTTTCACAATTCATATAAGTTTAGTGTGATCAAACAAGCTTATAGCCTTCTTAGGATGTTTTTTAATTAGACTGAAATGTTCTGATCTGATATGTTTAAGTTCCATCTGATCTGGTCTGGTATATGTCTATTTTACGTGTATTTCACAACTTTCAAAATCGGATCTAATATAATCTGGTGTGGTTTGTTAATTGCTTCAATCTAATCTGATTTAATATATTTTTCACCGGTGTAACTAAAACATCATTAGTACAAAAAATGCTTACATTGCTATGATTGCTAATAAATAGTATCTCTTGGAATATGTTTGTGCATTTAAAAAAAGCTTCCTCGCAAACTTTCTTCTCACCCAAGGTTCCTGGGAAAAAAATTAACACAAAAATGCATGCAAATTCCATATAAGGGGAAAATAGATGCCGAATTGAAAAGAGCTATTGGAGGCTTGGAGCAAGGGATGGTTTACTGAAAATATATGCCGAATTGAAAAGAGCTATTGGAGGCTTGGAGCAAGGGATGGTTTACTTTCTTGTATTAAGTTGGATATGTCTGGATTAAGATGTTTATCTAAATTAAGATGTGTAGATTAAGTGATAATTCTATATGGGGTTGTTTATTCTATGTGTTGAATTAATTAAATAAAACTATCCATTTAGTAACAGAGTGTTATTCTAGGATTTAATGTCAATGAGAAATTTCATTTGCTAAAATAGATGTAGGTCACGATCGGTTCAAAAAAATTATCAAAATATTATCTCAAGTACGTGGAAAGGATTAATAATTTTTAGCTTAATGTCCATGCTTTCAATTAAGTTATAAGTAAATATGACTTAATGTCTGAACAATGAAGTTGTTATTATCATTAAGCTGCAAGTAAACGGCCCGAAGTGCCTATTCAATTCAGTAGGCATAAGCAGGGGGAGGTATGTGTTAGCCAAGGGAGCCTTGGCCCTCCCAACTTTATTTATTTCCCTATATGTTAGTATGTTACCTAGTAAAAAAAAAATTAGGCCCCCCTCACTTTTATTTATTTTAATATAATAGTTTACATTACTTTAAGAATCTCCTAATTTTTAATATTTTATATTTATTAATAGTTAATAAAAAAATCTCAATCAACAAGTGTAAATGTGTAATTATTTTATCACAAAAAATACTCTGTATATTACATGGTATTCGATATGTTTGAACTATAAAATGCAGACCTAAAACAAATACGATAAATACGTTGTTAAAACTAAAGGGTGATCAATCAACATATAATTCAAAAAGTAACTAAGAGGTTATAGTTTTTTTTTTTTTGGGCAAAAAGAGGTTATAGGTCATTAATCTCAATAGCTTCTTATATCAAACAAAACCAAATTAAAATGTTACAGGGTAGTTTTTTATCAAACAGTTTTTACTTTTTCCATTTTATATCTTTTCAGTTTTTTTAAAGCTAAAATTACTAAAAAGATTGCCATAAAGAAAATTCAATTAATTGTGCCAAACAAACATATCCTTAGGATATGTTTGGCAAGACTAGGTAAAAAGATACTTTTTTGAGCTTTTTAATAATTGTTAGCTTTTAGGGACTGAAAAGATCTTAAAAAGAAAAGGTGGTAGTTGTTTGGTAAAAAGCCGACTGTTTGATTTGGTTCCGTTTGGTATACAAGCTGTTAGGACAAATTAATACTAAAAGTCACAGTCTTTTCTCAAATGTTACTCTCAAAGCGTCTCAAAAAAGATCTTTTATTTTTTGAAAATCTCTTAAATTTTGTCATGTCAAACATACAACTAAAATTTTTTATAGAATTTTTAAACAGTACAAAAGATAGAAGGCAGAGATTTATGTCTGTCAAACATGCGCTAAATAAGGATTGAATAAAAGAGCTTATTTACCACAACTTTCAATTAATGTCTCACAAGCCGGAACAGTCTGGTTTATTTGGTCATAAATGGTCTTATTGATCAAATTTTGCTCCATAGCGTAGTCAGTATAGGCTGCATATTGGATTAGCGGATCTGTGAGTCCGTTTCCGATGGCAAATCCCTGGTTGAGTATTGACAGCCAAACTTCACCGTTAGGTTGAATAGAAACAAGTTTATATTGTACTACTATTAGAGAATGGAGATAGCAAGATAGGTACCTTGAGGTTTATATGAGTTCCTCGATTTTTCATGTTTCCCTCGTTAACACGAGAAGCCAATGCAGGAATGTAATGCCCAGCATATGACTCTCCCGTTATGAAGAAGTCATTTTTGACATATTCAGGGTGTTTGTTGAAGAAGGCCTGACCATTACTTCAAGTTTTTATGTGTAAAATTTCATTTGGGGTACTTAATTACCTCAAATAGATTGAATTAAACGTCGAATATATAGTAAAAGAGTCAAACAGGAGTTCCTATTTTAAATTCTCAAAATAACAGCTACCAGATTCTGTAATGTGACTTTTACTAATAAATCTATCGAGTTTGATTGGATTATAACTAATCAAAAGTTACTAATTTCATGTCGGATTTAATTGAGTAATGAGGTTTTTATAAAACTTATTAATAAAAGTATGGATGTTTTCTTTTGGACTGAAATTTGCTGGTCGGGTCTGGTCTGGTCTGGTCTGGTAAACGTCTGGTCTCTCTGTATTTTATAACTACGAAAGTCAGGTCTGGTCTGATCTGGTCTGGGACTGAAAACAGTCCAAAAGAAAACATCTTATGACTACCGTTAGTATGAATATAACCTCATGGTCATGACAGTGTAAAACTGAAAATCATGTAGTATGACTAAAGTTAATACTATAGTTACGACACTTAAATGTTACTCCCTCTGTCCCGCTAGAAGGTTTCAGTTACGGTTTACGATGCTTGACTGACGATAAAGCAACTTAATCCCTTTTCACACTCTGATTATTATTAGTAAATAAAATTTGCATATTCAAAAACTACGTTAAAACCGCTACAAAGCCTAATAGAAAATGTAAATTTGATAAAACTTCGATATATAAAGTAAAAGATTAAAAATGATTTAAGTTAACCATGTGAACAGTGGACGGGAAGCTTCTAATGGGACGGAGGTAGTATATTTTTGTAAATGAACTTAATTTTAGTCATACATTTATAATTATTTCATTTTTTAAAATATTGTTGGAGTATACCACCTCCTTGAACAGTTGCACGTGAAGGAAAAAGTCTATGGTACACATAATTTGTAGACATTTGTTGTACACATCGTGTAGTTGAAGCTCGTTTAGAAGCTCAAATGTACACATGCTACTAGACAATGTGCACAACAAATGTGTACAAATTATATACGTGTACCGTACAAGTAGCACCCCTCACCCATGAATCCATTATTCACGATACTCTTTATTTGAAAGTAGACCTGCAAGAAGTTGTAGAGGTCCTCGCTGACGCCTTTTTCGTCAAAGCGAATGTCATTCTTAGTTGTACTGTAACTGAAACCAGTTCCGATAGGTTGATCCACAAAGATGATGTTTGAAATCTGCAACAAATGTAAGGTAAAAAATATGAGCCTTTTTTTATCATTGGATAAAGTATTAAAGTTAGAGATATTCGTGCAATAGGAGTAAAACATGTTAAAATGCAAAAAGAGAAGTTCAACCAGGCATTCCAGCTCAGCTGGTTGTGAGGTTATCATGCCTAGTGGGAGGTCTCAAGTTCAAAACTCGCTAGGCACATAAGGGTTCGAAACTTAATGGAGTGAGTTTCAACCCTGATTACTCCAGCCCCCCTCCCCCATCCCCCAGCCCCCTTGGAGTAAAAAAAAACAAAAATAGAAGTTCATTTTTATTGGGTATGATCTCCTTGAATATATCGATGGCTCTCTTGAAGAACCTGCTATGCTTTCCAATGACCACAAAACCATTCCAAATCCATTTTATCTTGTCTGGTATCGTCAAGATCAGATCTCGATTAACGCTCTCCTTGGTAGTTGTAGTGAAAATATTCAGTCGTTGATCTCCAATGCGTCCATGACCTATGATGACTGGGTTACTCTATGTGATAGCTATGCCAATGCCTCTCCTGGCCGTGTCCTGGCTCTCAAGAGCAAACTTTCACGTTACCGATTGTCATTCGTTCAATTTCAGACTACCTTCGTGATATGTATGACATTGCGGAAGGTCTTGCTCTAGCCAAATCTCCCGTCTCAGATATAGACCTCTTAATATATATTCTCAATCAATTAGGGGATGTATATCAATCTATTGGTTCGGCCTTTCGAGCTCGTAACACTCCCACCACCATGTTTGAACTCGAATGGATCTTGACTGATCATGAACCCATGCAAGAAATCCTTCGAGTCCAACAGTTCTCTCTTACCCACTGTGAATTACAATGACAAGCACTCTGCTTCATCTGGCAATTCTGGTTGTGGCTCTTCCCGTGCTCGTGCTCCCTCTCACCATCGTACTTCTCCTGGATTTTCACCACCCAGCTTTTCTCATGGTCTTACTCGTCCAGGTGCTCCATTTTGTCGGTTTTGCAACCTCCATGGCCATGTGGTGCGTGACTGTAGGAAGCTTTCCAAATTAATCCATGATAACAACTATACACTTCAGGAGATTCATCTTCAGTAAATCAAACAACTGCTCGTTATGCTTCCACCAGTCAATCTTTGCCACCATCTACTTGGCTTTGTTTATGGTCGAGCGTCCCACCATGCTACCACTAGAGTTGAGTCAATCAAGGATTTTCAACCCATGACGCTTCAGATAAAATTCGTCCCGGTAATGGTAATTCCTTATCCATATCCCACATTGGTCACACCTATATTCCCACCTCTTCTGGTCCTCTTACTCTTGATAATGTTTTGTGTGTTACTAAGTCAATCTCCAAATTGTGTCATACTAACAATGTATGTTTCTAGTGATCACGTCATATAATTTGTGCCACTCATGCAGGGTAACAATATTGATGGAGTCTAGTATAACCCAACCATGGTTTCTCCTCAACTCCATACCACTGATCTCTCTCAAGTCTCTCGGCTGCATCACCTGTTTGGCCATCCATTAAATAACATTCTATCTATTTTAGCTAATAAATTACTAAATGTCACATTCCTATGTCTAGTGCTCAACTTCAGAAACTTTATTGTACTACCTGTCAAATTAATAAACATCATAAATTGTCGTTTGCTCAAGATAGTCTTGTTACTACCCTTCCCCTTGAACTAGTATATACGGATGTGTGGATTACTCATGTAACTTATGTGGACGGTTATTCCTATTATGTTATTTTTGTTGACCATTTCACCAAATATATGGCTTTATCCCATCAAACACAGATCTGATGCCGATATGATAAACCTTTTATCCACTCCCTTACTTCACAGCTAATTACCCTATTGAATGCTATCTGATTATGATCCCATTTATACTAAACTACAAAATTTGGGTGTCTTTGTTTTCCCTTCCTTAGACCTTATACAAGTCACAAAATTACAACCTCGGTTCGTACCTTGCATATTTTTGGGCTACTCTACTTCCCAGTCAGCCTATAAATGCTTTGACCCTATGGGTCAGCGGCTTTACTTATCTCGCCATGTAAAATTTATTGGTCATACCTTCCCTGGTCTTTCCATGCATGAGTCATACTCATCCACTACCTACACCGCCCAGCCTATCACTACTAGCTAGTACTCTACATATTCTGTCACTTTACCGTTCACCCCTCCACATGTTTCCACTCCTCCACCTTCCCCTCTTGTATGAACTTCTTTGTGCATGCCTCATGCCCTTTCTATCCTAACGTCTCCTACCACCTCCTCTAATGCCAACAGTTCCTCCTCTCTCGTGTCATTCTCCCCTCCTGTCCATCTCCCTTCCTCGTCTCTTAACCCCTGCCCTCTAATGAACACTTTGCCTTAATTCGGAATCATGCGTGGGACTTTGTTCCCAAGGATGTCATTCCTCAGTTGATTGCAAATGGATTTTTCGTATAAAATGCAAACCTGATGGAACAGTAGATCGCTATAAGGAATAGCTTCTAGATAAGGGATACTCTCAGGAACCTGGTCGTGATTACTCTGAGAAAATTAGCCTGGTTATGAAACAAGTCATTATTCATCTTATTCTCACCTTAGGATTGCAACATCACTAGTCGATTCGCTAGTTCGACATTAATAATGCATTTCTAAATGGCATGTTGCATGAGGAAGTTTGTTTGGATCGACCTCCTAGCTTCATTGATCCAGCTCGACCAGGTCACACTTGTTGCATTAGGAAGGCATTATATGGTCTAAAGCAGGCTCCATGTGCCTAGTATATTGAGTTATCTCAATTTCTTGTTTGCTTTGATTTTGTCAAATCCAAGGCAGATGTTTTCCTATTCGTTTATAGTTCTTAGGGTATCATTGTATATTCTATGGTGTATGTGTGTGACATTGAGCTTACTGGGAATAATCCACACTTCATAATCAAAATTATCAGTTGCTTTCTGATCGGTTTTCTCTTAAGGACTTGGTCTCTCTTCATCACTTCTTGGGAGTTGAAGTTATCTCTACTCCTCATGGCGCATTTTATCTCAATACAACTATGTTACAAATATATTATCTACATTTCATATCAGAGGCTGCAAACTGGTTTCTATTCCCATGTCCTCTGCTCTTCAGAGAAACCACCACTAGCAAATTTTTCCAAGGCAGTTGACACTACTGATTATCACAAACTCATGGTCTTATAATTACTTCAGTACCTTGGCATTCCTCGCCCAAATATCTCCTCTGCATTACCCCGACTATCCCATTTCATGCACGGTAGTCTCCTGGCACATTGGTTAGCTGCTAAGCGTCTCCTACGCTACCTCAAGTCTACTGTATCTTATGGCTTCTATTTGCGTCGTCTGGCGTCTTTATCTCTCACTACCTTTGTAGATGCCAATTAGGGGGGTCTTCCACCTTTGGCCGTTCCACAACCGCTTATATTATTTATATTTTGGCCATAATCTAATTTCATGGAAATCCACTTTACAACGCTCTGTTTCCAGGTCTTCTACTAAAGATGAGTATCATGCTCTCGTCGGCTAATGCGGCGTGGAATATTCTCAAATTCACACAAACTAGGAATGCAGCCATTGCGGCTGGTAGCATGATGATGCGGACCAATGTGGTGCTGTTGCGGCCTATTGTGGCCGGTTGCAACATGATGCAGCGGCGTTGCGGTTTCATCCTGGTTGCGTTGCGGGTTATCGTCGTGATTCAAATACACAGTGCTATAGTGGGACCGATGCGGTTTCGCCGCCGCTCGCGAGCGCAACATTGCGACCGCATGTGGTCAACTATTTGAAACTTTGATTACGAGTGTAGATGGAGGGAAGATTTGTGACTAGGTTTTTCTTGAAGGAAAATCTTCTGTATTTATATCATTAGCTTTAGGATCGTTACATCAATCATAGAAAAATCATACTTGACATCAGCAACCTCCACCAACTACAACTGTTAAACCTCTGATTAGACATAGAAACGATCACTCCTAAAAGAGCAACATGAATCGCTAACCACAAAACGGGCTTGACACAGCTATCACTGGTCATACAGATCCGTATACTTCTAATGACATAAATATAAGCTAAATTTCCAATCATCCCGATAAATGTGGCAAAATAGAATTTAATAAGAATCCAAACAACAAAATATCAATGACTAATAGGACAAATTTTTTGAACCCCGGAACCTTGTTCAACTCCATGGCGGTTAAAAATTGTTTTGATAATTTGAGTAATGTTTTGATTATAATAGAATTATAATTTGATAATTCATAGAGTGAATTACCTAAATAGGACTAAAAGGGACAAAAATCACAAATAGGATTACATTGTTTTAAATTTTCCCAGTAAGACTACTTATGTGTGTCTGGACAAATATACCCTTGTAGCTTTTGAAATATTTTTAATTCATAATAAAATCGTAAAACATAATGAAAAAACGTAAAAAAATATATAAAATTAATAAAATATTTATAAGATAAGTATTTCAAAAGAATTTATTAAAAAAAAATTAAAAACGTGAAAAAATACACCGCCGCCTCTGCCACCCTCACCACCACCAGCTCCAATCACCGAAGAAAAAATGCTAACATTTTTAGTAATTCCATAATAATGGCAAATTTAATGAAAATTTTGGCATTATCAATATTAATAATGCCATTTTCTTTGCATTTTGAGAAAGAAAAAAAATTGCATTGTTTTACAAAAAATGACATTTTTTACCGATCGGAGGTGGTTGAGGTGGGAAGCTCTGGGAAAGGTATCCATATTAGTTTTTATTTTTTATATATTTTTACTATTTTCTACTAATTTTTTAAAAAAAAAAGTTTTTTTTTGAAATTTTTGTTTTATAAGTATTTTATTATTTTTTTAATGATTTTTTATTATTTTTTATGATTTTATTATGAATTAATACTCTTAGAGGTATTTAGGGTAAAAAAATCAATGTTTAATCCTATTTGTGAATGATTCAAGACTTTAGTCCTATTTGTACATTTTAGGCAAACTTTAATCCTATTTAGAACAATTTCTATAATTAATACTCCCTCTGTCCCGAAAAGATTCGTCAAATTAACTTTTCTCAGTCAATCAACTTTGACAATCAACTTATTATAAAAAAGTAGGCGTCATGCATGAGTTGCGGGCAATTTATATCTACACCCGGGTGTACATCCGGGTGTACATGTACACCCGGTTTTTTTTGTAATTATAGGTCTGATGCTCATTAAAAGTTCATTAATGCTCATTCACCAAAAACTGTGATTTTCATCTCAATAGCGGATGTTTGATGCTCATTGTTAATCTCCTAATACTCAATAAAATAGGTCAGATGCTCTATTGATTTGACCTATTTTCAAGACATTCAATTGTGCATCAAGACATTTTCATTGAGCATCAACTTTCCTCTATTGAACATTGAAATTGAACTTTGCAATTGAGTATCGTGGTATGTGTGCTCTAGTATCTATAATAGATACTTTTGAAGTATGCATTAATATTAGATTTTAAAATGAGCATAACACTAGTATTAAATTAGCATACATAAATTATCAAATGAGCAATGATATGAAAATCATAAACTTTGTTAGTTGAGCATCAAGACATTTTCATTGAACATCAAACTTCTTCTATTGAATATCAGAAGCATGAAATTGAGTATCATAATTTCTACTCCCATGTGAATCTAATATTGAAATATGCATTAATATGACATTTTCAAATGAGTGTAAAACCAGTACTAAAGAGCATACATAACTTCCAAAATGAGTATCGAAAAATTCAAAAGCTCATTTGAATTCTCTAATGTGTTTAATGTTCACTTGTGCACATATATTATAATGGCAAATATAATAATGACAAATATAGTAATTTTTTTTAGGAAAAGAAAGCTTTATTGATGATAGAAGCAAAATACAAGAGCTAATAAAGGTAGAAAGTAAATGGAAAGAAAAAGAAAAATTAATGAGGAAAACATGAAAGAAAGAAATTAGTAAGGTTGGGTATGTTGTCTGGTGTTGAGTAATCATGTTTGCTGCGTGGTCTCATTAGACCTAGACGTTGATTCATTGTGTCTTTTGGATTTTTTGGAAACAACCACTACTAGAAAAATGGCTTACAGTGACACTTTTATAGTGATACTTTCTGATAAAATACCATTAATGACACATAAGTGTCATTGATTTCTAACCCAAAAATTTTACAACCAAATAGCGACACTTATTTTTTTTCAATACAGAATGATTCACTTGCTGGGCCGGCTGGGTGTGCGCAGAGTTTTTTTAACGCCCAACACTTAGGTTTTTTTTCACATACCCACTTTAATTTACTCTAGCGACATACCCATCGATTTTCTTCAATTCGAGAGCTCTACTCGCACTGACCCTATACCTTAAGATCGATCGTCTTCTCCATCTTCTGCCAGACCAGAGATGGATCGATTTACTCCGTCGTTGCCTTACTCCATCACTGTACTCCGTCGCGACGGTCGACGATTTCATCGAGGACGTAGATCCAGCAGCGACGGTCGATGATTTCGAGCCTGGACAAGTCCCAGACGGTGTGCGGCCGTCGTTCTTGGTCTGGCTGCGTGACATCGCGCGTCTCCTCGCTGGTTCTTCTTCATCAGCGATTATCATCTATTTCAGGTATGTAATTTTTCCTTCATCTCTCCTCCCTAGCTTAGGTCATCCTTCAACAATATCATCTAATTTGGTCTGTTCCTTTGGTGAAACAACTCCGATTGTCTTGGGCAGGGGGTGAGAAGTATGGTTTTACTCTCTAGTTTCTTGATGACAGTCGCGGTGGCCGATCATAGTAAGAAATCCCTTTTCGTTGAGTTTATTGGGAAAAAATGGGATCAATAGCAAAGATGGGCTTAAAGCAGTACTTGCTTCAACTTCAGAAACATCCTCTTCGAACAAAGGCAATAACTGCTGGAGTACTGTCAGCTATAAGTAATATAGCTGCTCAAAAGATTACTGGCATTCAAAAACTTCAAATCAAGCGCCTTCTTCTCAAAGTGCTTTTTGGTTTTGCATATCTAGGACCATTTGGTCACTTTCTTCATATATTGTTGGACAAAATTTTCAAGGGCAAGAAGGATCCGAAGACAGCTGCTAAGAAGGTTGTGCTTGAACAAGTGACGTCTTCACCTTGGAACAACCTTCTTTTCATGCTGTATTATGGGTTAGTTATTGAGGGAAGACCATGGGTCCAGGTGAAAGCAAATGTGGCAAGAGAGTACCCAAAAATCCAATATACAGCATGGACGTTTTGGCCAGTTGTGGGATGGGTGAATCACCTGTATGTACCCCTCCAGTTTCATGTCATATTTCATAGCGTTATAGCTTGCTGTTGGGGAATATTTCTGAATCTACGAGCAAGGACAGTGGCAGTGAAGAAGGCTTAAGCACACAAAGACCGCATTTTGCCATGCGGTTGAACAAAAAATACTTTGGGAACAACTTCTATTTGCTCAATTGTTGATTGAATTGATAAAAGATGGACGACGAACATGGAAGTGGTGTTATCCGCAGTTACACTTTGTATGTCGCTTCACAAGAGTGTATGAACCAAAATGAGAGTAGGCGGAGCATACCCCTGTTGGCCTTTCTCTACCATCATTCTATATCATTATTTGCTAATATGTGTGATATGGATCTCAGTTTTCATTCTATCATAATTAAATGCAATGTTAAGTAGACTTGAGTCTCTATGGTATGAGCGTATTTGGTTGTAATGGTCTAAGTTGTGACTGGTGAGCAGTTGTGGTTGAAAGGTTTAAAAAAAATTATGGGGGTTGGTATATTTTAATATGCTAAGTTTTGATTGATGTGTTTATGTTAGGTGAACGGAGCAGGTTCTGAAATTTCTAGGATTTTAGGCTATATTTGCTTCAAGGAAAATATACTTGTGAAAAATGCATTCTGATTATACTCTATTTGGCATTGGAGAGCATCTCAATGCACTGGAAAACAATTTATATGTTTTTTTGATGTATGGGTTTTGAGGAAAACATTTCCCAAAAAAATATCATCCTAGAAGCAAACATAGCCTTTATATATTGTTGGTTCTTTCTCCTGTCCATTTAATTCTTCTGTTCTCCTTAATGACACTTTTATCTTTTTTTTTTAACAGGGCTCTGAAGGATGGAGTCTATATGCTGGTAATTATCTGCAGAAAGATTCTCCATGTACTGTTATCATTACCTCATAAATAGGTATCCAATCTCTCATTTATAAAAAAGAAGGAAGGAGATTAATATGCCTCTCCGATTCCTAAGGCATAACCACGCAATCTTTACGTCATCCGGTGGCGTGATTTTCTTTTGTTTTTATACATGTCTGGACAGGTACTCACTTGCCCACCGACCCATCTCTATATAGTAAGTTGCCCGCTTGTAGCAAGTTTTTACAGGATGAAGCTAAACCTTTCCAAGGGACATCCTCCTATGTCAAAGAAATCTTACACAGTAGTTGAGAACCATTATACGGATTCAGCCCGGGCGACCAGAGGGAGGATATTCGTTCCAGTATAAGCAGTTTATCTCTACTAAAGAGGGTAAGTGAGAGTGTGAGACATAGCCCAACATCTTTTAGCCAGATTAGGATTCGCTGTGTGAAGCATGATGCCATGAAACAAGAATTCGAATAAGGCTAATAGATGAAAGATGGTAGATTTCTATTATCCTATTATATTGGATTTCAGAATGAATATTATTTGACTTTCTCCTTCTCTCGAAACCTCTCTATTTTTTCATTTCTTTAAAAGTATGTATGTACGTAGTTCAAGTTTTCGCCTGATTCACCAAGTATGTTTGTTTTGTACGCCTGAAGCTAATGGAAATGGAGAATCTTACATTTTTAACCATGTATAATAACAATCTTCAGATCAGAATTCATAGAATGTTTATTGCAGTATCTCAAGCTAAATGCCAAGCCCTCCTAAGCCATTCAAAAAAACTAACTATTAAGTGTTGCTTTTTGAAAAATCAGACCTCATAGAGAGATAAAAATCTCAATAAAATCATCTGAAATCACCAAGTGTATTGTGATTATTTATTAAGAGAGGTGCTGAAAATTGACTTGTTCTGAATTTCCATTTCAAAATTAGTATTCTGGTTAGTCTCATAAATAAGTGAAATAATTAGTGTTACTATTTGGCTTGTAATTCATTTTGCGTTTTGTAATGAATCTATATGAAGTGTGGTGTAAAAGTTGGCATGTTGTGTTTAATAGAAAATTGTATTTGCATGGCAGCATACCTAATATGAATTATATTTATGTTTCTTGTTCTTTATTATCATGCTGTATTTTGTAATATTAATATTTAGAATATTTTCTTTGTTTAAGCTACTTGAATTACATTGTTTAACCCAATATTTTCTTTGTTGCCAAACTCCAGACCTAGCTAAGTGACGGAATGAGTCAGTAATGCCTCACCTTCTCCTTAGGGTTCCAATCAATGAATGAAGAATCTGGTCGGTATTTTCTTGTTCTTTGTACGACACCTCGGTCAACTCAAGTAACTTCTGTAATTTTAATTCTTAACATTTTAACTAAAACCTAATTTATTTGCTTGGTTATATAGTTAACTAAATCAATTTGTTTCACTTCATGATTAACAAGAATCTCTCGCTTCTATTTTTATGCAGTGGAGTGGTTGGGGCGAGATTATACATTGTGGACATGATTTTGAACTGGTGTATGTTTGCATAATCTGATTTGTAATTCATAAATTTTAGTGTACACTTTGCAGGTGATGACTTCATTCTGTGCAACAGAAAATATGATGTCTAAGTATTAGAAGAAATGTGAAGGCCCTGTGAAGAATGGTGTAAAAGTTAGACTTGTTTGCGTTTTGTTGTTTATTACTTATGAATTATGTAGTATGTACAAGTTCAACAACAATGTAGCTTGGAGTTTGACATTAATATTATGCTTTAAATGTTCAGTGTATGTTTTGAGATTTATTGACTTTATTATAGTTTATGGGATCAGTTATTATTGAATTGGAATTTCTTAAATATAATTGAGAAGGATTTTCTAAATTACCCATGAAATGGAATGCTGAAATAGTGCAAAAAAAAGTGATACCAAAGTGTCACTAAAGTATGGTGTTGCTTGAATGGAAAACATAATTATGTGATACCGCGGTGTCACTAGAATATGTGATGTAAAAGTGTCGCCGAATAGTTATGTCACCTATGTATCACTAACTAGTGATACTATAGTGTCACAATTTTGTGACACTTGTAGTGACACTTAAAAAGTGTCACTAGATCCTACTTTCATTGACACTTTTTTAGTGTCACGGAAACTTTCAGTGACACTAATTTGGTGTCACTGTAGGGCATTTTTCTAGTAGTGATTAACAACCGTGAACCCTTCTTCATATTCTTCTGATGGTATGTGAGCTATTCTATTTAATTGTTGATCCAAATTATAGTAATTTTATATTAAAAATAATTTATAGTCCTTCGTTCTGGAATTACAAATATAGTCGGGTTCTGCTTATACTGTTTTTCTCATGCATATTTATTTGACACTACTCATTTTAGTATAACACAAAATTTATGTTAGTTATTAGCACTTTATATTTAATAAACTAATAAACATTTATCTTAAATTCAAAATAGAAAAATACAATATTAATATCTTAAAGATTTATCATAAATTAAAATCAATGGAAAGGTGGTCAAGAAAAAGGAACAAGAAATAAAAATAAACATCGCGTAAAATTAAAAATAAAAATAAAAATAAAAATAAAGGTGGTTAAGACTTGAGAGACGGACGAAGGTTGCTGGGTAAACAAAGCGCTGCACATACGCACACTGTGACAACATACGTAGGGAAAGAGGAGGACAGAAGAAGCAGGATCTAATTATTACCATTCAAATTAGAAATAATTACAAAAATATTGGGTGTACATGTACACCTGGAGTTGCGCAACAAAGTCAAAAGTGTTGCAACAAAAAGAGAATGAAGAAAATATCAAATAATTAAAGTGGCGATATGAATGCAAAATCAACGGTTAATTAAATTAAAGCCAGTGAAGATTGATTTGTCTTAGGGAAAATGAAAACTACTAATCCAACTTTTTAGCGGTCTTTTTACAATAGTCTCATACGTAATTCAGAAATAATTCAATCTTTGCACTTCATCTTCATACATAATTCAGAAATAATATGTTATTCCCATTTTCCGTCTTCCTATTCTTATTTTTATTTCTTTTCCATGTTTATGTATTCCACTTTTTCCTCTTTTTCTTCTTCCCGTTTATTATTCCATTTTCAGTTTTATACGAAGTATATATTTTTGAATTAGTTTCCTGCTTGTAAAATATCTTTTTCTCATTGTACTAACTTTTTACTTAACTTTTTTTACCTATTTATTTCCTTTTCCTTTAATTTTTGACTTAATGTTTCATAGGTAGAAAAAATAACAGCTTAATCAATTTGACGGGAGGGTAGTTAATTAATTACCTTGTCCCAACCGTAATCGTTCAAAATAAGAGACAAATTGGGTTGAATTTTAAAGGGTCCATTCTCATAGAACAAGTAAAACATACTGCATGCATGCAATTGTACGTAGAACGTATTACTGTATTAGTCAAATAATATATAGAAACATGATTTTAGTTGGTATATTTGTGAGATAATAGTTTTGGAGAATAATGGCTTACCAAAGTGGTAGCCCTAGAGGTGTATTTATATTAATGAAGAGATAAATAATTACACATAGGTCCTTAATACAATAATAATAATACGCTATTAGTATCTGTATATGAAATTATGAGGGTGAGTATGTGACAACTCTGGTACCCATTTAAAAATGGGATACCATATTATCACTCATTTGATTGGTCCAAGACATTATATCACTTTTATATTTCATTTAAATAATTCAACTAGAATATTTTGATCAGTCCATGTGGATAAAAGTATGGTACCTTATAAGTATCATAGAGTCTACCAATTATGAATAGAATATGTACTCAACTTATTATCAGATTGATCGAATTGATCATTGTGTGTGTAACCAAAATTCCTATAAACAATTTGTTTATTGAGACATAACCTAGGGTGAATAGGGTGTTTGGAGTTGATTCTGTTTATGTTTCTTTTTAAAAAGTAGAAGCAGAATCAGAATCAGTTTTTCAGAAATTGGTTTCCCTCATCTTATAAAAAACTACTATTAGGAGTAATTTGGAGCGCTCAGAAATACGTTTTTACTTTAACCCAAACACTTTAATATTTGTTTATACTTTCTGAATGAGAAGCAGTTTTAAGAAATAAACCCCAAACACTACCATATAAACATAGCATTTGATAGTCATACTATAAGAAGTTTATTTAATTTGAAGCTTGTTGGGTGTGTTTCGGAAAATAAAGAAAAATTAATTAAAATAAATTAATTAAATAAAATGATGAAAGAAAAACAAGAAAGGAGATGGAGCAGAATTTGGCAAAGCTCGTGCTACGCACGATGTCCTTAAAACGTATTTGTTGCCTCCCACGGTGCCAGGAGCGTTGCAACAATAGTTTCCCAGGATACGATGACAACGAACTAGTGTTTGAGCACTCAAACAAAAGTTCCAACGAACGAGAACACAGAAGGAATTTTCAGAGTGCTAGCAGTGTGTTTTTAGAGCTAAAACGTGTATGGATTCGTGTAAAATCGTGTGTTGTTGCAAACCACCTGCCAGCCATTATATAGGAGGATTCGTGTAAAATCGTGTAAGAGCTAATCTTTTAACGCGGCATTAAAAGATATAAACGTTGGGCATTTCTTGCTGTAACGGTTCAGAAGCCATCAGAAGACCCCTACGTAGTTCTGCTGACTGGGAAAAATATACGTATCGGGAAGAAAACAAAAATTACCCGTATCTCTTGAGAGATGGATTTTTGGACGACATTCGTGTCCGCAGGTCGCCCGCGCACGCAAGTCGCGGTTTTTCTTCTCCGAATTCGGGATTTGATTTGCACCCCCCCCCCCCTGCGCGCGTGGAGAGAGCCTTTACCCTTAAGAATCTTAACTCCTCAAGGGGGGAGATCCCTTATAAAGGGTTGCAAATCCCTTGGGTTTTCCGGTGTGGGAAATTAACACTAGAAACCCATCCTTTTTCCCAGTTTTTCCATTCTAACGGGTCAACTTCGAAAAGCGATTTCTCATTCACCCGTTATCCGTTTTGAGCGTACCATATATCGAATTGTAGCCCTTAACAAGGGCAATCCGAAACCACTTTGACCCGACCCAAATCGGAAGTGGACCCCACTCAAAAAATTGCCCCAAAATAGCCATTTAATGCAATTTTTCACACATTTTTCCAACAAAGCTTTCAACTGGCATTTTATATAACATGTGTAGTATATACGAAGTATATATATACCTTGCATTTATAGTATTTTGAAGCTTAAAATAACCGGCATGTTGGCTTAGGTTGGCAATACCATCACCATTTTGAAGAGTAGAGCCAGACTGGCCAAGGTAATCAAGCTTGAAGGGCTTCTCGATGAGCGTCGGCTGATCGGCGGGAACCGCTCCGGCTGCTTCGATCCTGAGCTGATCATCATGGACGCTGGGAAACAGGTTAAGATTCCTGATCAACCTCTCCGCGACTTGGGAACCCTCGGAACGAGGACTGTTTTTGGAAGCCTTGAATAAAGCATGTGTTTCAGCTGCTGTTGTTTTTGAGAGTGAGAAGGGGAGGAAGAGGAGGAAGAGGAGTAGCGAGGAAGTTAGAAGCAGACTTAATTGGAGCTGCAGCCATTTTCTAATTCCTTGGCTTTAATTTGTTGTGTGCAAGTTAATTAATTATGGTTTTGGCGTTTGAAACTCAATTATTTTTGAAATATATAGAGGCGACGATATGATGTTCTTTTGTCCCTTCCCAATAGCCCGTCAAAATCTTTAATTAAATACTTGTATTACTTTTTGTATTTTTCTTTATTTATAATTCCTACTTTTAAGGAATTTCCAATTTAACTCCTTAATTACCGGAGTATATAATATAATTAAATCAAAAGGAAAGGTAAATTTTGGAAAAACTTTTATTTGGTTAATTATATACTCCGTATTTGGATACAATTTTGTATTTCATCTCTGCTTAAATATTACAATCTTTCTTCTTTTCTTCTAAAATAGTGCTAAATAAAAACAAATTTTGAAAGTAGGTCTAATTAGGATTTTTCTTTTGTACTACGAAGTATTTTCATATCAGACTAGACTAGATCGTATCGGACCAGACTTAAACAAATCAGATTATATTTAAATGGATCGGACCAGACTTGGACAGTTCGTTACAAAATATACAAAGATCATACATTTATCAGATCAATTCAAACCACATCAGACCAGACTTCAATTGATCAAATCAGATCAGACCAACAAATAAAAGAAAACATTCATAAACTTTAACTTAAGCTAGCAAACAAGCACTTCATTGGGGATGCGACCAAACTATAAAAAACTCTCTCATTTTTAATTGCTTCAATTTTTTATTTGTGATCTGATTTTTACAATAAAATATATTAAAATTTATATTAAAAAAGGGAAAGTTTGACTTAGTAATATTGGACTTTGCAACCTTTTGTAAAATCATTAATGGGGTGAAAAACTAAAATGATTTTTGTACTGAAAATAGGATGTAAATTTAAATATCACTAAAAATGGGACGTAAAACCAAACTCCCCAAAAAATGTAAATAAAGTTGAATATACGATGGATAAGGTTTCTAAGCTCAACTTTTTTAAGTAGATCTAAGTTCAAAATTTAAGATCTCATGATTGTATAATGTAGACTCATACTGCAATTAGAGAGAATATTTTATTTATTGGTTGAAAGTGTAACTAAGGAGACATTAAGAGGCCGTTTGGCAACACTTTTTTCGGCTTATCAAGCTTATCAGTCAATTTTTTTCATCAAACACGTAACTTTTACTTTCGCACGCTAAATTGTGTAATAAGCAGAAAAAGTAAGGTTGAAGTTACTTTTCTGGCTGTATTGGCTGCATTTACTGTAGATGACCATTTTAGTTATTTCTACATATAATTTTTTCTTTATTTTATTAATAAAATATATTTTAAAAATAATTTTTTCTTAAATCAGCAGAATCGGCCAATGCAGCCACTTCAGCCAGAGTTTAATAAATTTCAGCAGAATCAGCCAAATCAACCGATTTTCTTGCTACCAAACAGGCTCTAAGTTCTTTAAATATTTTATTTAAAAACAACAACTCAAATCAAATCAACAAAAAAAAATTGTCACAAGCATTTTCTTTTGGCACTTCAACCAATAAATAAAGTGTCCTCATATTAAATAAATAAAATGTTTCCTCATTGCAAGATGAAATTGCACCATTACCATCATACATTCATGAGATCTTAATTTACAATTTGAAAGTACTTAAAAAATTGAGCCTAATAACTTCAACCCACTTAATCTTCATGTTTAATTTTATATTTATATATGTAATTTCGGTGTCATATGAAAGATAATAAAAAATTAAGAATTTTAATACTCCGTGTATTTTTGTAAAATTTGGATTTTAAAAAGGAGGGAGATTTTTTAGTTGGATCCATAACCCATGAAGCGATTGTTTACTAATTTTGGTGAATACTTAAACATAGTTGCATTTGATATTATATGAATTTACAGCTTTTTATGCACGAGTTACATCTTCTTGTGAGTGGGATACATCTTTCTATGCGCGAGTTACATTTGGACTTGGCTCAACAAGTTACATTTTACATACACCTAAGTTAGTTTTTCCATCAACGTGAGTTACATTTTCCATAACACGATTTATATCATAACATAAATCCCTTGTTGTTGAATAAACAAAAAACATTTTATCAACTTTTTGCAAAAAAAATTGTTTTTTTGGAGAAAAAATGATTTATTTAAAACATTTTATGGTCATAATATAAAAAAACAAATCATATTCACTATTTAGTAAAAGTAATTAAGCAATTAGACTCTTTTTTATTGTTTACATTGAAATCAATATTTTAGACAAGTTACATTTCGACTTGTTTGCAATCACTTTTAAAATTAACGTGAATTACATTTCTTTACACTCGAGTTACATCGTTTTGCTACTGGAACAAAAAAACAGAACTGTGTCAAACCGAGGTACTGTACACGCGTGTGTTGTTCATGCGTGGAAATTTTTAATTAAAAAAATGCGCAAAACTATGTCGTTTTGAGCGTGGAGCATGGTGTTCACCGTGGGATGATCCCACGGTATACAAACGTACTGGTGGTTCAGTATTATTAATGAGATGGAAAGATTGATTTTATTTTAAATAACTCTAAATAAAAAATATTTACAAAATTAATGAGATAATATAGATATTATAGAAAAAAGTGTTTGAATATAAAAAATATTTTACAAATATTTGTATAAATGTAAAAACAACTACACAAAAATAAATTTGTTAGTAATTTAGTTGAAGAAAAAAAAGTAAAAAATAGTGTGAGATTATGAAATACAATATACTTATTTTATGTGGATTAATAAAAAATTTTACAAATTGGTAAAAGAAAACTAATTCAATTATAATTTAATTAGTTAAATATAAAGATAAGTAATGAATTATTTTTTTACTTTTTCCCTTACTAAATAATTTGGCAGCAAATTATTCTCTCTCTAGGGTTAGTGCCGCTAGAGCTTTTCTTCCGTTTTTAATTTGGCTTAGTCAAAGTACGGCCGCCGTCTCTAGGTGGATTAGTTATCGTTTTGGAAGGATCGTTGAGAGTTTGGATGCAATTGTTGAAAGGCCAGTGCACAGAGGGGGGGAATTGCATTGGAATGGCCATAAACTCCTCTTCATAGGAGCCTACCAGTTCGCTGCTTTGATTCGTTGGCAAAGGCGGAGCTTGTGTTGGGATCCAAAGGCGTTTATAGATTTTATTTCTGGATGATAGAGTTTTCTTGTGTACCTTGGACATGGATTTCAATCGCAAATCTCAAGGGGTAAATTGACGAGAGCAAATTGGCGAGCGTAAAAAGGATAGAGTTTCAGACGAATTTTCTAGGGATTGAAATTCTCTTCTACTATACTACAGCAGCTTGCCCTCCTCCGGAACCACCTCTGTGCAATGGCGGACCTGTGGAGGTGCTCGGGAAGATGGAGATGAATTTTTATTTTTCTGCTTGTTTTTTTTTGTCATTTTATTTAATCAGTCTTATTTTTTTGTTTTGGTCTACTTCAATTGTTTGTGGCTCAGGTTTGCCCATTAATGGATCAGCGAGTTATATATATTGCTTGTATGAAGGTGATTAACTTCAAGTCTGGTTCGATGGCTGACAGTTGTCTGTGGTTCCTTACTTATTTTAGTCCCTTTCCGAATGCTAATGCTTTGATTTCAATAAAAAAGATAAAGATAAAGATAAGTAAAAAATCCCAAATAATTAGATGTGACTCACGTGTAATTAAATGTAACTCGCGCATAAAAATAAGTAGCTCGCGCATAAGAAAATGTAACTTACGCATAATAAGATGTAACTCGCGCATAAGAAGCTGTAACTGCATGATATATTATCAAAAGCAACTTCAATAATCAAAATAAGCAAACTTAATGTCTTAAAAACCGCTAAAAATGTATAAAAGTGATAAAAATGTATATTATAGAAAAAGTGTGTGAATATAATAAATATATTACAAAAAATTATGAAAATAAAAAATATATTACAAAAAAAGTACTACCTCCGTCCCTTATAACTTTACCAACTTTCCTTTTTGAATGTCTCATTAACTTTGCCACTTTTCTTTTTAAGTAAAGAATTTGTGGTTTCAGTTAATTCTCTTTCCTCTGCACAAACTTCAAGCACACATTTTTTACTTTATTGTTCTCTGTGCCGGTCAAACTTGGCAAAGCTATTAGGGACGGAGGGAGTATATATGAATATAAAAAATATTACAGAAACAAAGATAGTGTGGGAATGTGAAATGCAATATACTTGTTTTATTTAGAATATTAAACTTTTAAATACTAATATTGACACTTTCAGAATTTAATACTTCCTCCGTTCTCTTTTAATCGCAACATTGGACTTTTTGCACTATTCACATGTTCTACTTTGACTATATTTTATTTATTAATGTATGATAAATTATTTTTTTAAAAAATATTGTTCAATTCATCTCATTATAAATTTTCAAAATCTTATTTTTTTTAATTTTATACTAATAAGGAATGAAAGATATTAATGGTCAAACTTGTGCGTTGACAAACGTGAAAAGTGGACCGTTGCAATTAAAAAAGAACGGAGGTAGTATTACTAAACTATTCCTTTAAGAAAAAGAAAAAAAGGAAAAAATCTATTAAAGGAAAATTTAATTTAATAAACCATTCCTTTAATGAAATTAATTGTGAGTAAATTATATTCCCTCCGTTCCGCTAAGAAGTTCTCACTTTCCTTTTTTAGCAGTCCCAAAAAGAAGCCCCCTTTACTTAAATGGAGAGTTATATATCCACATCAAAATAGTGTCAAATGGTGCAAAACAATATCAAACAGTCTCAAAATAGTAAAATTTACCGCCTGATAAGTTTATTTACTTAATATGTGTGTAAATCAAATCGGGAACTTCATAGCGGGACGGATGGAGTACTACGTAACTTATATGGTAAAAGCAAGGGCGGAGGTAGAGAGGTGGCCAACCGGGCCACGGTCCGCCTCAAATTTGAATTTTTTTTGTATTTTTAGTGTAAAAATTTATGTGAAAAAAATTATCTGAAAAATTATTTGTATCGATTCAACCCAACCTTCAATCCTAGTTTCGCTCCTCAGTAAAAGAAAAAAGAAAA